CATCTGTGCCAAAATGTTTTCCCCTGTAAGATGTAACACATTGCTGGACTGCCTGTGCGCCTGTATATTGTCCAGCACATACGAGTCATTTATATCAGAAGTTCCTGTCATATGTATATATAGCATTTAGTTGTTAAAAAAACCTCATTCACCTCGTTCTCTTGATTAGGATGTCTGCGGTAACATTTCCAATGCTGTTGTCTATTTTGTGTTTTCCCATTTACCTTCAACCAGAGATTTTCAACAGATCTATGGCCCACCTATTCTGGGACTGCAGGGCAAGCGTAAACACAGTGAAATCTAGTGAATTAGTTACTGAGAATTTGTCACTGTACTCTTACTCTGCAGACCCTCTCAGAGCCCTATTGATTATAGATAAAATACTGACTAATTTGTCCTCTATTAAAGTGCAATTAGCCACTTCAGAATATTCAGATATACTAAAATCACAAAGGAATTAGCTGCTAATAATTAGTCAGCCTAATAGGCTCTGGGATATTCGCTCCAAAAGTCCCATCAAACCAGCTGACACTTGCTAAGCACTGGGCACTCTTCAGGTTTTCTTCCTCAAGATCACAGAGATAATCACCCATTTCATTCTGGAGAATTATCTTCTCTTTTTGGCAGTGAATGCATGGAACAGGGCACAGCACAAAACTTGTCATGCTTATTTTAGTCCATCATACCTGGGTACTTCCTACATAGTGAGCACTCTGGATTTGGGCAGAAAGACACTTGATGAAAAATAGTTATCTGTATGATCATAATGTTCTCCTGTATCAAAGTTGAACAGCTTCTGAGCAGCTAGGGGCTGCACCCTATGCAGGCCCCCTCCTACTATCTGGGCAATGTGGCCTTTCCCCCAAACATGCCCTGCCACATGTAGACTGTAGACACCCCATTTCCCCCTCCCCCATGGGCCACACTGCCCTGCCCTCAGGCAGGAGCAAAAAGCAGTATCTGGAGGAGGGAGAGGCAGCCTGGAGACACTGGCAGCAGGAGTAGCAGCCAGGCAAGAACCCAGGAATCAGATATTAACCCCTTCTCGGTGAGCCTCCAGCTGGACAGCTCTGTTCTACAAGTCACAGTGCCTATAGTTTCTTTTCTTCTTGATTTTAAATGTCAGAAATATTATTTTTTGACTGTGCTTCAATGTGGCATGGACAATCTATTGGACAAAAAGCTGAGAAGGGCTAACTACCGATAATCTGTCATTTGTGGATAATTGGCCATCCATATTAATTCTCTTGGAGCAACAAATCAACCATGTTTTCTTGTGTGTTTCTCTATATAAGACAACACTATCCCTTTTTTTCTCCATCTGCTTTCTTGTGCATACTAAGATTATCCACATCAATATTCCCCTTCTCTGCACTCACCCACTGAATCTCTGTCATCCACATTCCAAGGGGATACAAAAGTGCCTTCAGCACTGCAGAAATGTACTGCTAACAACTTGCAAAGGGGCAGGCAAATCAAACAAAACCTCTTTATTGTAATATTAAATGGCTGCCACATTGCTTAAAAAACATTCTGCTTCTTAACAAAAAAGGGAAAAAAGACTGTATTGGCAAGAACTGAATATTTGGTGACCATTACTTGTTAAACAAACTCATTGGGGTTTTGCCAACCTCTATGCTGAAAACAAATGCAATACGTGTGTGTGTGTGTGTGTGTGTGTGTGTGTGTGTGTGAACACACATGTCGTTATGTGCACAGGCACATTTATCTATCTGAATAGATAGAAAATATAACTATGTAAGTGTGCTCATATGTATACATGCATCTGTAATGATGTGTGTGCATGTATATACACATACACAAACACATGCATCTATATATAAAATGTCTTAGTGTGCCTTACCTGAAATGAAAAGTTTCAATTTCTAAAGGACACTGAGCCAGATTCTGTTCCACATGTTGTGTACGTGGACCTAAGTGCCTAAGAATGATTCTATCCAACCTTGGTTGTATTTAAAAAATGCGGTGAATGCAAAACATGGGTGGGCTCTTCTCCTTGCTCATTTTTATGACTCTGTCTTAAAGGTCAGGTGATGGCTGTTACAAAAGTAGATGGATTCCGGGTCTTAACTGGTGTGGAAAGGAAACATGCTTAGATATGCAAATCTACTTAGATGCCCTATCAGTGGATTAAAATCTGGCCTATTACTCTTAAATTTGGTTGTATTTTATTTTCAAAAAAATAAAATCTTAAAACATGTTTGTTTCTGAACAAAATGTTTAGTTTTTTTGTCCCCAAAATATTTTGTGTGACCTAAAATATTTTAGAGAATAAAATGGGCCTGAAATGTTGAATTATACATTTTTTTGCATGTTGCTTTCAAAGTTATAAAAGGAAAACATATTTTAAATCATATCTGCATTGTGTGTTTTAAGGGTCCTAGGCAGTACTGTGCAATATTGACACTCTTTTTCGAAGCACCTACATGTGATTAACAAGATAAACTCAAAGGTTTCCAAAAGGAATATATGGTTTCAGAAACATTTTGATCTGTCGTGGTCTTTCTGAGTTTGTTGCAGCACAAGAATTGCTCTATTACCTTTATGTACTCAAAAAAATAAGTGAAAGCTAAGAGCTGGCATTTTCCAAGGGATATCTTAGTTCTAATGAAGAGAGCCCTGCATCTAAAACTGGAAAACTCATCTAAGTTTCCCAAAATCCAGCTGTGCAGTGACTGCCAGCAGAGAGTAAATCTCTTCTTCACATTTCTGGAGGCATTTGATGTCAATACAATTTCCATACATAGCATACCCCAAAAACCACATGGGAGCCAATAAGGAATTCCCAAGATTTGTGTGTGAAGTACTGGGGAGTTAGGGTCACAGGCCAAAGGGCTTAGGAGACTGGAAACACACCGGTGAATACATTAGGATACATACACCTAAGAAAAACATAACAGGCAGGTAAGCGTTGAGGTACACACACTCATAATAAACATAACAGACGGACAGGCAGTCACCCAGTGGTAGAACCATTCAGTAACAAATAACAAGGTAACCAGCAACAAACTCTATCCACAGGATATTTACACTGAGGAACCCTTCAGCTCTCCCTCAACTCAGGAGGGTCCTCAAACCAGTTTCCAGTCCTACTGTGCACCCAGTTACTGTGCACCCAGGCACTGCACCTGAGCCCTGCCACCATGGCTCACAAAATCAGCCTCACATGCACTCGGGCCCCACCAAGTCAGCCCTAATGCAGCTACTGGATCTCTGCCACATGTCTCACCAGCTGCAGCCTCTCAGGATCAGCCTCGCTGCAGTTCCTGGGTCTCTGCTATGTGTTTTGCTTGCTGCAGCTTCAGCTGCTCTGATGCTCACTGTCCCTTGACCATTGATTCACATGTGCAAACCCTAGCCTCCCTTTGGCTTATTCTTTCCCCAACAGCCTGCTGGAAATAGAATTTAGCTGCTGCTGTAGTCCATTACACATGGATGTGAACTGGTTGATAGTGGATTACATCTGATATATCAGTTATTGTGCAGGAAGCATGATACAGAGAGCGAGGGGTCCTGTTCTACAGGTAGGGAGCCCGTGGTTGCAGAAGAGCCACCAGGCCTGTTCTGAGGGATAGAGACAAATTCCAGGGAGAAATCCCAGATAAAATGGGTGTGGGTGCGAAACTCCCTGGGTGGAAACAACTAGTTTATAATGGACAAAAGAGCAGCGGAGCATGTGGACTCTGAAGCCTACAACAAGGGACAGGGAGGGGCGGGGGCTGCTCCACGACAGGTCTTTGGGGCTCGACTTCCCTCTCTCTGTCCCACATGGTAACTCTGTGGCCAGCGCGCTGAGATGCCTGTCTCTGGAGCAGTTCCCATTCTGAGGTCTCTTTGCTCACACATTCCTTGTGGGGTCTTGCAGAGATGGATGAGACTTGGCTGGAGCAGTTCAGGGTTGGGGTGGTACGTGAGGTCTCTGAGCACCTCAGACCTAGCAAGAGGAGCAGCACAGAGCTACAGCTGGAAATGGTGACCTGTCCTGAGAGAACTGATATGGACTCAAATAATTTTCTTATTCTCCACTGGGGCCAAACAGGATGAACTTTCCAAAGCCCTCACCTTGGACCGAGGGCACGGACACCATGTGACTAGGATCCAATCCCCCCAGCTCTGCCCCACTGAGCTGCTGAACAGCACATGGGATTGGAGCGCCCCCGAGCCAAGGAGGCCTGATCACTGCTGCCCGCTCAGCAACATGCATTTTCGCAACCCAAATGGGGAGACCAGGGTGATGCAGGCCAGGGGACATGGATTGGATTTGCCAGAGGCACTGGACACCAAGCCCCGCCAGTCCACTTTCCAATGGTGCTCCTGACTGGGCACACCCAAAAATCCCTTCAGGATATGGACTTCCCTTGGCCACGATTGGTGCCACAAAGGTAAGCATGCACATTCTTGATGCCCTCTATCCATTACTCATGGAAGTTCTGGGTCCAGCTTTTCACTGCACTTGAAGACAGATGTGGATAGCATTGAGAAGATTGTGACAGAAATGATTGCAGGTCTAGAAAACATGACTTTGGTGAAAACAGTGGAACAATGGGAATCATTTACTGTAAAGAAGGGGTGACAGTTGGTGGAGAAGGTGACAGTGTTGCCATCTTTAGATACTTGTTGATGGATATAAAAAGGAAGGCAATAGACTACTCTCTCTTGCCACAGACGACAGGACAAGAAGTAACTGATCTAACTTCCAGCTAGGGAAATGTGGGCTGCACATTAGGAAGATCTCTGGGAATAATTCAGCTTTACAAAAGACTGAAACATTAGAGGAGAGACTGTGGAAACTTCATGTTTGAGAGTTTCCTACAAAGCAGGTTTAGATGGGGATGACCCAGCATTGAGCAGGGGGTTGACCAGTGGCTTCCAGCCTTATTTTTATTTGATACTATGGGTCCATATCTACACTCCTACACTCTCATTAGTGCTGCAGCAGTGTGAAGGATTGGTGCCTGATGCACTATGTGCTTGATGGGTTAATCCAGTCTCTTTTCTCCTGACAATTCCCTCCTCTTCTCACAAATGCAGAACTGAGTTAGTTCACAGTCTCCAGGCTTAGCTGCCCCACCTTGGACATACACACAAGCTCCACCCTCATAACTTGCATGACTGAGGTCTGGGAGATCAAACCTGGAATGGAAAGCCACAGATTACAGATCATGTCCATCCCCAGCCCTTCCCCCTGAGCTCACTGCGCCCTGAGCACTGGGCTGGGAGCTCTCTGTGCTGGCTGTACTGACAGCAGGTGATGCTGAGCAACCACCTAACAGAAGTAAGGCTAAAGATGCTTTCCAGCTCAAGGCTGTAATGAGTTGGATGAGAGTCCTTCAGCACAGGATCCCTGCGCTCTCATGGCACCATGAACAAGACAGGATGTGTCAACATCATGTCTAGCCCAAGCTTCATTTGAGAAAACCTTTGGCTCTCCAGAAAGTGCTTCTCGAATCAAACTTGGAGAATGTTTTCTCTCTTCCCCTGCAACAGCTGAAGGCTGTTCCCAGAAGCATCTCCATTTCCAAGGCAGATTGACCTCTCATAATACATGAGGACAGATGGTATCCATGAGATAAATTAAAGTACTACATGACTCCTCTGTGTATCAGACATCTGGGATCTGCCAACCTTCCCTGCTCTTTCAAACCCATCTGCCAGAGTTATGTACCAACACTTGAGCAATCTCAAAGAGCTGCCCCTTATTGTGGTATTTCTTGTGGTTGTCAAGAGAACTGGGAATGAACCTCATAATGGCCTTTTTAATGGGAATAAAGCTGGTTTTGCTTACTGAGGTGTTATCATGGCTGTTCCAGCCCTGTGCTTTTGGAGGCATGGGCTAAATTAGTCCCCAGTGTTTACAGAGATGCAATAATGAGACCCAGGACATTGCTGAAGATGTCCAATAACACATATGTATTTCCTGTAATACATGTAGCCTGGGTATAACTCCTGAGCAAGGAACTGGGCTTTTTGAATTATATGGACTAAGCTCAGCAGAGCACCCCTACAGGTCTTATCCCCTCACATGCCATCCCCAACTAACAAGCCCAGCCTGGTCCAGGGTGTCTGACTGCAGGATCTAGGGTAGGCAAGAGCAATATTGCCCTTTTCCACCATAGCCCTTGAGCCCTCTGGGCCAAATCTGCTTTACCAGGGGCACAGTACCACACTCCACTAGGCCCACAGACCATAGGGTATGTTGGGCTGTATCGAGATGAAAGGTCCCGTGCACACATTGGGAGTTAGAATCGCTCAGACCACAGCTCCATGGGAACTGGGGGAAACAGGACATTTGCAAACACCTGGGGCCAGGTGGGGTTGGTGCTGCGTGGTTGGGTCTATCACTGTCTGTGCCTCTGATAAAATTCACAACCGTGTTTGGTTGACAATGTCTGAGCCTTATACTTCCATGGTGAATCACACCCAGGGACTGTGCTGTACTCTGGTGTACAAACAAGAACAACCTGGTGGCACAGACTTACAAGGCAGAGGAGAGCTCAGAGCCATTCACCCAGACCCATTTCCTAGTTTCAGAGTTGTAGGACAATCCAATCCAGAATCGGTGATAATATACAGCTCTGTTGCGTTCTTCATAGTATTGAAACAACTCATGATTTATGAAATTCTGCATGAGAATAAAACAAATAGGAAAAAAACCAGAATTCATTCAGGTGTATGAAGAACACCATAGGCTTGAGTTCCCAAAGCAGCATCACCATCACAATCAGTGCAGAGACCTCCCCTGTAGCTAATGTTAGATTTTCTCCTCCATGGTCACCTCCTGTTCATTCAGTCACCCATTAATTTCAATGTAAATCTTCTTTTTGGGGTGGACAAGTTAAAATCTGCCTTACAGCCCAGGGCTGACATTTCCCTAGGAAGTTCCCTTATAATCTGCTCAGACATTTGAGGGTGAGGCCATGGTACAAAATTATATCACTTGCCCCTGAAGAAGATATAGCTCACCCAGGTAAAGCTACAAGGTTGTGAACAGAGTTTGCTGTAAGGGCTGTTTTCAAAGGTTGTTAAAAGAACCATTTGAAAAGCCTTCTGTGAGGACCTTCCAGGCAGTACATTTTGGTTACAACCGGTCTGACGATGCACTGACACTGCCTGTGGATTCAGATAAAATTGTTGTCGCCATGTTAATGGCTAAGACTGTGACAAACAGTTGCTTCTCTCTTAAGTTTATGCCTCCTGCCCTGAGATCATGATAGTGTGCCTAAGGAACAGCCCTACCCCATCCACTCTCATGTCACCCATGTGACCTGTTCAAAAAGATTGGGTTGTCCCTTTATAGGCCCTGCTCAGGGCTGCTCTGAGACTCCTGAGAGTGACGCTTCATGCTCCTGGCACTGCTCTCATGGTGAGCACATAGTATAGTGACTACACAGCACAGTTTTAGACTGCAATGTGAGGAGCAGGAAT